GCCTCCACCCAGTGATGCCCAGGAACAAAGCCAACCCAGAAAGCCACACTGTGTGGCTCTGTAGGAAACCTTAGAAAATGCCAACTAACCTACAGTGACAGGAAGCAGGTCCCCCAGCACCTGGGGCAGGGACATCAGGCTCAGTGCTCAGTATCAGAGAATAGTCCACAGGCCAGCTTGGATGGTCCATCTGTGGTCCAAACATCACATTAGGACAGGGGTTTAGGAAGCTGGGGAAGTCCCTGATCTTTATCCAGTTCCTCCCTGGCTGGAGGCTGAAATAATGCACCTTTTTGGGGTCTAGGAATGTAGCTCATTTGATAGAGTGCTTGTCTAGCATGCATGAAACCTTGAATTTGATCCCCAGCTGGGTGTGGTAGCACATGCCTGTCATCCCACTACTTGGAAGACAGAGGCAGGAGGATCAGAATCAAGGTTATTCCTGACCACACAGGGAGTTCAAGGCTAGGCTGAGCTACACAAAAAAGAGAAAAATGTACCTTTCCCTCAGACTGCAAAGAAAAGCCCTAAAACCTGTTGGGGAAGCCTGGCTCCAGCCCAGCCTGGAGCCGTTTCCAGAAAGGGAAGGCACCAGTGTTGCTGGGGTTGGCCACCTGGTCTCCTGTGCATTTTAAAGTCCTTTCAGTTTTGTTTTTTTTTTTAACAGAAATCACATTCAAATACTTAGGGTTTAATAGATGGCTTAGTGGTTAAGAACACTGGTTACTCTTGGGGCTGGAGAGATGGCTCAGCTGTTAAGAGCACTGACTGCTCTTGCAGAGGACCCGGGTTCGATTCCCAGAACCCCAAGCCCTCTTCTGACCTCCAAGGCATTGAGCAACATGGGCGCACTTACCTACATTCAGGCAATACACTCACACACATAAAATAAAAATAATGAGCCAGGCGTGGCAGCACACGCCTTTAATCCCAGCACTCGGGAGGCAGAGGCAGAGGCAGGCAGATCTCTGTGAGTTCAAGGCCAGCCTGGTCTCCATAGTGAATCCAGGACAGCTGGGGCTACAGGGAGACCCTGTCTCAAAAAGACCAATAAATAAATAAGTAAATAAATAAATAAAAATAAAATAAATAATTTTTTTTAAGGTAAAAAGAACATTGGCTACTCTTGCAGAGGACCTAGGTTCAGTTCTCAGCAACCACATGACTGCACAACTGTCCATAACTGTCTCCTCTGGCCTCTGCAGGCATTGCACATGCAGTACACATATAAGCAGGCAAAACACTCATACACATAAAATTGAAAAAAAAATTGAGACAAGGTCGTCCTGTGTCGCTCCAACTGGCCTGGAACTTGCTATATAGACCAGGCTGGCCTCAATCTCATAGAGATCTGTCTGCCTCTCCCTCCCAAGCATTAGTAAAATCGAAAAAATTAAGTGAAGTGCCAATAGTGGAAGAGGATTAAAAGGTGAACAGTTCCCCCAGTAGAGGAACACGGCCCAGCCCCACCCCTTGTGGCAATGCCCAGCCACGAGCCCTGCCCAGATGCCCAACATCAGCAGCTGGAGCAGTAGAGCTCCCAGCTGACCTTGTAAACCTGTACCCAGGCTGTAAAGAACCCCACCAGACATTCTTCAGGGCCCACGCTGCAAAAGATACCCCCATCCCAAGATCAAGGTCATGTTTCAGTGGGGCTCACTCAACCCTCACCAGCATGCCCTCTGACACACCCTGCTTCACCCCATCCCCAAGTGAGTTCCTCCTTGGTCAGATTCAGTTCCATCACTGAGTGCCCTGCCTGGTACCCTCTTACATCCCGTGCAAGCTGTTCCCGGTGACCCTCACGCTGGGTCAGGTCACAGGAGAGAAGTCTGTCCCACTCCTGAAGATTGTCCTGCTGAGTACCCAGAAAAGTCCTTCCAACCTAGTTTCACTAAGATGGCCAGCCTGAAGCCAGGCAATGAAAAGACCCAGTTGTGGCTGGCTGAAGAGCACTGAGGGCCTGCTGGGTGAAGTCTCCCACCTCCTGTAGGCACCCTCCACAGAGCATTAGGACAGGCAGGTGGGCCTGGGGCTGTCTGGCCAGCTGATAGTTCTCCCCTAGAGAGTGTTCTGCTCTGTCCCGGCTGAGCCGACTGTTCACTGTCCAGGCAGGCACGTGGAGACGTGTCATAAGCTAATCAGTTATCAACACGGCTGAGTGTACCATTTGTGTTAACACACAGCCCAGCCATGTCACCTGTCCAGTGTCACAGGGTCGGAGAGCTGGAGCACCTGGACGCACACATAGGCCTGCAACAGCAGAGACCACATTCTTAGCCACCATGACACCGCATGCTGACTCTGCTGCACACAGTTGTATCTGCGTGAGCAAGGGCATAAGCAGACACTTGCTCCACAGTGGTCACCCCTCTAAGGGATGTACCTGGACCCTGGCCAGAAGGATCGGGAGGAAGAAAGTCACAGAACGCCCCAGCACACCGGATCTCTCAGAACTGCAGCTGTGTGGTGAGCGGTGTGTCGAAGCAACTCTCAGTCTCTCCAGTTGCAGACAGGAACGAACACATCCTGGTGTAAACATCTTGTGAAACTCCTTGGGAAGGTGGGGCCGTTCACAGAGCAGAAATGTTGGCAGCAAAACCTGGGAGGGGCTGGGAAGGGGCCTCTTGGCAGGCGAGGAACAACACAGCAGTGGACTTCACACTCCCACGGCAAGAGCTGCACGTCCTCAAGGAGATCATAGGGTCCCCCTGTGTTTCTGGAGGCTCCCTGAATGGGGCTGATTTTCAAACTTACAGGTCTAAGAGGAATTACATCATCACCATCCTCCTCCAACACATTGCCAGTTCTAGAAGAACCAAGTGGGAAAGGCATGGCTGACCTGATTACTAAGGAGCTATCACATGTGGGACTGTGCTCAGTCACACTGAGGCACCATGTCATACATACCCTCATTCCCCATTGGGAGAGGACCCTCTAGGTAGGCAGCTGAGACGTGTACGTCATATTAATACTTAGCAAATGCATGTGTGAGAATCAAATACACGGAGAGGTTCAGAGACAAGATTTGTCTGTCTCTGGTTCTAGTTTCCCACATATAAGCAGGGTCTCACTGTGTAGACATCGCAGGTATCATGGGGTCAAGGCGAACGCCTGAATTGATCTGTCCTGAGCCTCAGCACTGAGGCTACCAAGAAGACAGAGCCACAGTGGCCCCGCTGTCCCTCTAACCCAGGTCCTGTGCACAAGGGCAGCATGGCTGGGCTTGCTTGGGTCTGCTGAGCTTTCTTGGGCATACAGTCTGGTTTCCCTCCTCGTGGATAATGACTCAGGAAGTTCAGATGTAGCAGCTGTTTTACACATTTGGTAGCCCCCAAAGCTCCTGAGGACCCAGGGAACACCCAGCCCCAGTCTCCTGCCCCCTTTTCCAGTAGCCTGGGGGGCTGGAGTACCCCCTGGGAGCAATGCTCCACACAGAAATCCGAGGGTTCTGGCACAGATGCTGAGTTGCTGGGGCCTTGCTGGACATCACCACCTGCAGTGGCATCCCCTTGATTTGGAGCCCACTGTTCTTAGCCATAGCATCTTCTGGCTCTTTCTGGAAGTTTATATCCATGTATTGGGCCTTTCCCTTGAGCATTTTTATTATAGTAAGATACACAGACCATGAAATGTGTTTTGTTTTTTGTTTTTTGTTTTTCCGAGACAGGGTCTCCTGGTAGCTCCAGCTGGCCTGAACTCACTATGTAGACCAGGCTGGCTTAGATCCACCTGCCTCTGCCTCCCAAGTGTTGGGACTAAAGGCGTGTGCCACCGTGCCCATGAAGCGTGCTCTTAAACACACAGTTCAGGGGTATAAAGCACATGGCTGTGCAGCCATCACCCCAGAACGCTCTCATCTCCCAAGCTTGAATTCCGTCCTTACTAAACACTGACATCCCATCTCATCCCCCCAATCCACACCCACCATTCTACTGCTCTGTGGCCCTCATGAGTGGAATCACATTGCCTCCCTGTTTTGAGTGACTGTCATGGTTGGCTTCAGTCAGCCTGACACATCTGGGAAGAGGGACCCTCAGTTGGGGATTTTCCTCTATCAGATTGGCCTATGAGGCATTTTCTGGATTGTTGAGTGATGTGGGAGGGCCCAGTCCATTGTGGGAGTGGTCCTGGGTTGTAAGAAAGCAGGCTGGGCAAAGGCCAGGGGAGCAAGCCAGTAAGCAGTGTTCCTCTGTGGGCTGTGTTTCAGCCCCTGCCTCCAGGTTCCTGCCTGACTTCCCTTAAAGATGGACTGCGACCTAGAAGTGTACAATGCAATAAAGCCTTTCCTCCCAAAGTTGTGTTTGGTCAGTGTTTTATCACAGCAACAGACAGCAAACCAGGACACTGAATTATCTCACGTGTCCTTGGGCTTCACCCACACCTGGATTTCCTTTATTTGAAGGCTGAATATTGCAGCGTGAGGCTGGAGCACACCGCTTATTTATTCAGCCATCAACGATGGTCACTGGAGTCGCTTCCATTCTATTGTGACTGGGAACCCAGGTCTACACATCTGAGACTCTTTTTGATTCCTTGGGGTGCAAGCCCAGGTGGGAACTGTTTCATTGTCTATGGAGTTTGCGCCAGTGTTGGTGTTTCCCCATGGCCGAGCCGAGCTCCTACTACGACTGCCTGGTGGCCAGAAGGTAAAACTTCCCGAGACCGGGAACCTTGATTTGTAAGCAAACGTAAGAAACATAAGAACATTTTAGCAGCAGGAGGAAAGTCAAAGTCCTGGGAAGGAAAGGGTCCCACAAACAGACTGGGGCTAAGTAAAACAGGCCGCTGCGGCAGGCCTGGACAAGCTCAGCCTGTAGACGACAAGCCTCACACTGCTGGCCGCACGGCAGACACGGGGATTGTGTCCGGCCAGACCATGGCTTCTGTGTGGGAGGCCCGGCAGTGGTGGCACTGTCGTTTCTGGAAGGTTCAGAACTTTAGTGTACCTGGAAGTTGGGGTCTCCTTACAGCATCTCAAAGGAAATCGCCCCCAGAGGTGAGCTAAGGGAAATGTCAAGGTTTCCCCGTGAATATTTTATTTAAATATTAAATTAAAAAAAACATACATGAGCTAATCATTTGGCATACATGTCTCACATTTCTCATGAAGATGAGAAATGAAACAATTCATAGTAAAAAACAACAAACCCAATTATATACATCTCAGATCACGTAGTGTCTTTAAATAGGCGATTACATTAAGTCCAGGACAGGGCTGTCAAGAGATCTACAAAAACACACCACACACTCAGAAAAACAAGAACTTAAAAACCACGTTGCGGTCCCCAGAGGGTTGACAGCAACAAGAACACCTTGCTGGAAAGTAAAGTGCTGTCACTTAGAGACACAGCAGTGCCCAGGCCTTTGATCAGTAGCATCCAGACACGACCTGTGGGAGGCGAAGGCCGGCCACCCGGGACACTGGGAGCTCCCACGCGTCACATCTCTGGAGTCGGCAGGACGGAGACTCTTTGGCCTGCTCTGTGCAGGGTGCCAGTTCCACCTTAGAATGCTCCTCACATGTCTTTAGAGCAAATGCCACAAGACGGGCCACAGGGTGGCAGGGAGGGCCGTGCTGCCAGGTAGAGTGCAGCCTCCTTCCTGGCCACAGGTAACTCTGTCAATCTTTGGCTTTTAAACGTGCTGCCGTTCCCCTCCCCTAGCAACCTCAGGTTAATACTATGGTGGTGAGATGCCAGTGTAAGGCACCCAGAGGGAGAGGGACAGGTGCCTGACAGGAACAAGTAGGAAGTACCGACACCCATGAGCTTCTGACGGCAGAGCTGATGGGCCTGTCAAGTGGAGCTACTCCTTCTCCGCCACCTCCACCCTGTGCTGGACAGCCCTCCGCCCCTTCAACATGGTGCACATGGCAACACTTCTCATGTGACCAACGGAGGTTTAAGCCAGGAACATAAAAGCGTAGTACAAAATATAAAAAATAAGTAGCGTCTGTGTCCTATTTATAACATATACAGTATTTGCTTAAAAAAGAAAGCTTTACACTGACCTAAACTTCTTCCTCAAACGAAAGCCAGACAGAGCCCAACCCTGGGTGTTGGGGCTATTTTACTGGGAAAGGTCCCAGGCCAAGGGCTGGTGGGTACAGCCAAGATACCCACGGACACCCAGGCCTCCCTGGTCACAGCCCCTTGGTATTGCAGTTTCTCCAAGTCAGGTGTTTTTGTTGGACCCTGATAATGAAATGCATAAAAATCTGGTAATTAGCAGCGGAAACAAGAATGCACAGCAGGCAGGAACGTGTTGGCGTCCTTGAGGGGTGAGGGGCTCTGAGCCGAGGGACCCTGGCAGAGTCCCCACCTCAGGTCCCCATCCCTTGCAGGCCTCTCTAGTGGCCCCTCTGAGAGGCCTGGAGAACCAACTTGAACAGCTGAGAAACTCAGCTAGAACAGAAGACCGTCCTCCAGCTCTGGGGGCGATTCCGAGAATGCAGACAGACGTCGTAGGCCGACCCTCAGGTGCTCTAAACTCACAGAAAAGCAGCAAGTTCACAGTTTTCGTTAAAGCACGAACACTTCAGGAAGTGGAGAGCTATGAACCCAAATCAAAGGATGCTAATCCACACACAGGCATGTGCCACACAGCGCTGCTCCCTTCTAGGGACATCCAAGCTCATCACGTGATGACGATGGACCGTGGACAGGAGCACAGGTCCCTGTGCAGCCCACCCCTCCCTGCTCCTATCTTCCCCCACCCTGCTTCCCCTCCCGTCCACCCACCCACGTGACGCACCCTCAATTATTATTTTTCTCCAGAGTTTCCAGTCCCTACTCATAGTTGAGGTCACTCAGTGCAAGGAAAAAGTAAAACCAGCCCTAAGAGGCCGCACACCAAACGTATTGCTTGTTTCACATCTAGTAAGTTCTTGGCTTTGAGTCCAAAACCACCTTCACATACTCTGAAATTATTGCTTGAAAGAGTCAATCGGCCATGGGAAACGCGGCAGGGCCACCCTCACTGCACCAGGACGAATGTCCCTCGCTGGCCAGAAGTCAAGTCCTCCATCTCACAGTCTCCCTGTGGCAGTCCAGTGGGGTCGCAGCCTGGGGTCAGCCTGGTGAGGCACTGCGGCAGGGGCCCAGTGGGGAGAGACGCTGGGTTGGCGCTAATGTGCAAGTGGGCATCCAAGAGCTGTGCAGCTGACACCACAGGGGACATGCCGGCCTGCAGGAGGGGGGCCGCCAGCAGTGGGAGCCCAGACATGAGGAGGCCGTCACAGGGGGTGAGCACGGGGACAGGGGGCGGCTGGGGGACCTGCTGGCAGCCAGGCGAGGTGGCTGGATGGTGCTGTAACTGGAGCAGCCTGCAGAACAGAGGGATGGGGAGGGCAAAGGTCATTCTGCCAGCTCTGCCCAGCTCTCGGGTTTCCATTCTGCCCAAGTAGGTACAACCCACCTCAGAGCTGCTCTGGCAGACAAGGTTCGCAAAGCCGTGTGTGTGACGTGACATGACCCTGAGCCACCCTGCCCTAAGTTCTGCCTAGCTGCTGCGGCAACCTGGATGATGCCACCTCAACAGGACAGTCTCGGTCACTGCTGCCCTTTACCCACAACGGGCTACTGACCCTGCTCACGGCCCCTCCTCCCTCCATCCTAGAGAAGGCCTCAGGCCTCACCAACAAAGCACAGGGCAGAGGACGCCTCGCACATGGGGAGGTGGTGATGCTTGGGCCACAAGCCCCTTAGGAAGAAAGGCAAGGACCACCGGGGTGGCCTGGTGGGGCCTACCTCTGCTGGTGCAGCACCTCTTCAAGCAGGCTCCTGCCCTCCCGGCTGCCTGTTGTGCAGCCCTGTAGGCCTGGGCTCTGGGCTGGGGCGTGGAAGGTGCTCGGGCCTCCCCGGGATGCTCGGCTGGAGGACTGGCACACCTGGCGTGCCAACCCCTTGATCTTGTTTAGCCCCAGGAACCCCTTGGTCCTTGCATTTTTCCTCAGCTGCTGCCGGAAGGCCTTTAGCCCTGTGGAGACAAGGGCAGGGGTCAGCCGGCTCTGGCTCTAGTCAAAGGCCAATGGCCCTAGGCCTACAGAGGTTTCCAAAGCCTGAGGAGGAGGGGAGGGAAGAACGTGAGGCCCATGACTGGGCAGCTGTCTGTCTCCTGAGTTCACCACCTGCTCCTCCTCCATGGCTAGTGTCTTCTTTCTAGGTCTGCGGCAGCAGTTCCCAAGGCCAGGCATGACCAGATACTCTATGGAGGAGGGGTGTACAGTACACTGGGACTCCAGGGGCTTTCTGGGCTGACAGACACAGAGGGGCTAACGGGCACCCCAGCCCTGGGGTGGCATGGAAGAAGTCCAGGCAGCCATAGGGCTACCCCTTCGTCAGAGTTCCTCACTGACCCTGGCCCTTCTGCTAGGCAGGCACTGCTGCCAAGTGTAGCCGTCCCCTGCACTCAGTGTAGCCGTCCCCTGCACTCAGTGTAGCCGTCCCTTGCACTCAGGGCCAGGTTTGGGTCCGCCCTGTAGGCTAGGATGCCTGGAGTTGGGGTGGCACCTCCAGTCTGTCTGAGAAACACTGCTGCTCCTGCCCAGACAGGGACAGGGCACCACTCCATCAATGACAGGGGTGGCCTGCCAAGCCAGGAACATCTTCAAGGGAAAAGAGGGAAGACACGGGAGCAGACCTCACCTTGAGTAAGTGAGGTATCTGACGCCCTCCGTCCCTCCTGGAAGCTGACAGGAAGTAGGACAGCTGTGCCCAGGCCTGCCTGAGTCTGCAGCACAGGGGTGGCAGACTGTGCCCCCAGGAATGGCGAGGCCAGTCTGACTGGAGAGCAGGCACCCAGCAGGCCTGGTGTGACAGGGCCACCACTGAGCCCTGCAGGACCCTCACTTGCAGAGAAGGGGAGGCAGCTGTCCGAGCTGGTTCCTTCCGAAGGACTTGTGGTGCTGGAGACGATTATACCTGAGGGAAGAGCAGGTGTTTATGAAGGAAGCCAAGGTCACAGCCAGAGAGCCAAAGGGCCTGACCTGCCAGTGAGGACAGGCTGTGCTATGGCCTTCCCCAGCTCGACCCTCGTCCAGGCCACCAGAGCCCAGAGGCCTTGGCAGCGGGCCTGTGCGAGGAGGGCAGGTGACAGGTGACAGTGGCACTTGGACCCCAGGACAGAAAGAGACCTAAGGCCGAACACCTGCCTTCCAGTGCCTGGGGCAGCCCAGACTGGTGTGTCCTCCCACCAAGATGAGCACGTGTGTCTGAGCATGAACCACATGGTCACTAAAACAAATGGCAAATCCTCAAAACTCTAATTGGAGGAGGCTGCCAGGTCAAAGGAGCCCATTCCAAGTGAGTCCAGCCCGGCCTTGACCATAACCGTGGGCTGGGCCCCTAGGAAGAACTTACAGGGAGGGGTGAGTGGGGAGAAGTGGGTGGAGACTTCAGCCAGGGTGTGCCTCCGGCCTGTGCTTCCAGGCAGGGGTTCCTGGGCCTCCCGCTCCTCCTGCAGGCCGGGACCCTGCCTGGTCTCCTCACTGATAGCCGTGTCCAGCAGGCTGCTGGGGGAGACAGAACGGTGCCGGAACACTCCGCTGTAGTTATCCACAGGGAGGAGCAAGGGCTGTAGGGAAGGACAGAAGCCAGTGATTTCCGGGGCTCTTAGAGTGGGTGTTAGTGGGCACAGCCACCAGAGAGGGGTAAGCCCACCCATTCTGGGCTGAGGCACACACGCACCTGAAGTGAACTGTGGAGGTCACAGTCCATCTCGGCCTGCAGGACGGACTGGGCTAAGGCCTGGGGCTGTGGGCATAGCAGGGAGGGCCGGAAGGGGTCACAGGGGAGGATTTCTGGAGGCACCTGGGACAGGCAGAGGGGAAGATGCCATCAGGAAGTGATAACAGGGCTGACCACCAGTGGTAACAAGACACACCAAGCTGGTTCTGCAGATGATGCTGACAGAAGCCAGATACTAGCTAACCAGGCTGGGGCTCAGGATCCCGCATCTTCATCTCTGAGGTCACATGCACATGCAAGTGGCCAGGGTGAGGTGCTGGGAACAAGTGGCTGCAGAGCAAGCAGGACCACGTAGGACAGCATAGCCCCTGCCCCCCACCACAGCCCACGGCCTGGAGCATAGCTCGGGTGCTACACAAGTCCCAGGGGCTTGGCCTTGTGGGTCACTACCACATCCAAGTAAGGAAGTCCCAGCCAGAGGAGACAACTCAAAGCAAAGGGACAGGAAGGAGCAGTGCTTTGAGACAAAATCAATCCTCACCTCTAGACTGCTGAGGTCTGAGCTTCGGGTTCGGGGCTGTCTGGTGGGTGCAGGGCTGGGCCGGGGTGAGGGCTGGGTGCTCCGGTGTTCTTTGAGGCGCTCGAGCAGGAGGTAGTAAATGGCAGCAAAGTGGTTGTAGCTGCTGTTCTGCAGAGACTGGGGAGCAGGGGACAGTGAGATCAGGGTGAGGCCCAGGTGCCAGGCATGGGGGCAGTGCCCTAGGGTGTGTCTGCACTGGCCACTGGGCTTCCCCATGAGACTCCTCTCAGGTTCTCAGGCAGCCAAAAATATCATTTAGAGGAGGGGACAACCTGGCCCTTAAATTAGCCTGCACTCCCATTTTAACTCCACAGGCAAGGGCTTGCTTTCCCTGAGAAAGTCACTCCCGCCACCATTCCAGGATGTGAGGCACATGAAGTACAGTCAGGGCAGTGGGCAGACATGCTCACCTCCACCGTTCTCTGCCGGTCGATGCCCAGGGCTTGCATGATGCCCAGCACCTGCTCGTTGTAGTCACCCAGGTTGGAGGTGTAGCCTTGCATGGAGAAGGTGGGGTCGTCCTGCTGCAGGAGGCTGGGATCAGCCTGCATCCACCGGTGCTGGCGGATCTGGGCAATGGTGATGCGCTTCGCAGGGTCCACCACCAGCATGCGGCGAATCAGCATCTCACAGTCTATGGGGATGAGGAATGCACGCCCTGAGCACAGGAGGCACATTCCCACGCCCTAACAGGGCATCCTCATACAGGCAAACTCCTATGTGACAGTCCTAGGGAAGTCTAAAGGGGGAACAGGAGCTGCCACCATGGACTTCCACCCGCCACAGAGGAGAGCTGCCAGGTTGCGGCCAGACCCAGGGAAGGCACTCTGATCTTTCTAAATGCCCCCAAGAGCCAGGTGTGGTGACACTCTGGAGGCAAAGGTAGGCGGATCTCAGTGAGTCCAAGGTTACCCTGGTCTACAGAGCAAGTTCCAAGCCAGCCAGGCCTACATAGTGAGATAATCCTGTCTTGTTAAAAAAAAAAAAAAAAAAAAAAAAAAACCCCCAAGAGAAAAGAAAAAAAGAGAAAAGAAGATACAACACAAGCAACTCTCATAAAGAAAAGATAATCTTGTGTTGTAAAAAAAAAAAAAAAAAAAAAAAAAAGTCCCCAGAGAAAACCCCACAGACTTCCCCTCCTGGCATGGCACACACGAGGCCAGACATCTTTATAAAACAGAGGAGCCTGTGTGTGAGCAGGCGCTGGCATCCCAGGACCTGACAACAGGGGACTGTGGAGACGAGGTTTGCGGGAGACAGACTGTGGAAGAAGGTTACTACTGCTCGTGCTGTAAGCAGGGCACTGGGAAAGCACCCGTGGGTTGGGTTTCCCTCAGCCTGGTCACCTGGCAGCAGGCTTGCTAGGCAGCTGGGCAGGCTCTGCCAAGATCCACCCTCCACCTCCGCCTCAGAGCCTCCACTTGGCTTACTCAACAGTTCCCAGGGCGGACCAGCTCCACAAATACCCACCTTGAGACATGAAGAAGGGGATGCGGAACCGGCCCTCCAGCACACGCTGCCTCAGTGTCGGGAGGTTGGGTCCATCGAAAGGGAGAGAGCCACAGACCAGGACATACAGTACCACTCCGAGACTCTGTGAGGGACCAAACAGCCGTGTTGATACCCTGCTTGCCAGCTCCAGGATGTGGTGGCAGGCAGCAGGATCCACACAAGCTCCTACCCAGATGTCCAGCTGAGGGCCTTCATACTCCCTCCCCTCAAAGACTTCGGGGGCTGCATACGGAGGACTCCCACACCACGTAGACAGAGGCTCTCCTGGCTTGTAGAAATTCCCAAATCCAAAATCTGCGAGGAAAAGGAATAGGTGCCGGCATTAGTCTGGAATCGGCAAGAGCTGTGGCTTCAAAGTGCCCTGGGCCAACAGACCCCAAAGGCGGCCTCCCCAGCCCACAGCCTTACCTGCCAGCTTGATGTCCATGTTGCTGTCCAGCAGCAGGTTCTCGGTCTTGAGGTCCCGATGGACTATGTGATGGTTGTGGCAGTATTCCACAGCTGACAGAATCTGCCAGAACTTCTTCCGTGCCTCGTTTTCACTCAGGTGCCCATTGGAAGTCAGATAATCTGAGTAACAACAGAACAAAGTTTGATCCCAGGATGCTGAGTCTGCCATCACCGAGGCCCCGTGATGCAGGGCCTGGGCGAGGTGGACCAACCTGAGAGGGCGGGTTTCAGCTAAAGAAAGTGCAGCTTACCAAACATTTCTCCATTTTTTGCAAATTCTGTGACAATATAAAGCATATCCTTTGTTTCCATAACCTAAAAAGGGAAGAGCAAACACTTAACTAGGGGAGAAAGGAACACACCAAAGGTATAAATAATCCACTCAAAACCTAGTCAGTCTATAACTTCTCCAAGAGAGTGCATTCATCATTAAGAAAGGAGGGAGGGGAGAAGGGAAGGCGGAGGGAGGGAGGAAGGAAGGGAACATACATCTCAGACAGACAACTTACAAGCCTCAGGGTATGGCCTACCGGGCCTGGCAGCACTGCTCTTGAAAAGGAGAGCCACAGGAGGCTGCACCAGGGAGCATCTATCTGCCTGTGTGCTTCCTAGATGCTCTGGAGGCTGGGGATGCCAGAATCCTCCGGGCTTCCTTCCAGAAGCCTCATAGGCCACTGGTTATTCAAGCCAACAACCAGAGTAAACTAATCAATACAAATATCCCATCTGCACTTGCTTTATTGACAAGATACTGAGTCTTAAAAACATGGCCTAGGCAGGTAAGCTGGGGAAGGGGGGTTGCTCTGTGTATAGACATTGCTCGGATATGTCAATGTCAACACACACCTTAAAAGTTCAGGCATGGCCAGGCATGGTGGCGCACGCCTTTAGTCCCAGCACTTGGGAGGCAGAGGCAGGTGGATCTCTGTGAGTTCAAGGCTAGCCTGGTCCACATAGTGAGTTCCAGGACAGCTGGGGCTACAGGGAGACCCTGTCTCAAAAAAAAAAAAAACTTCAGGCACTGATCAAGAATTTTGTTATGTAAAAAAATTTAAATCCTAACTAAGAAAGAGTAAAATCCATTTTTTTTTAACAAGGTAAAATTCTAATCTTTGGTTCTGAAAGAAGTAAAACACACTCATGTATGTACGTGCTTTAAAATATTTCAGAGGGGCCAGCACACACCTGTAGTTCCAGCACTCTGGAGGCAGAAGCAAGAGAACTGCTGAAAATTCAGGACCAACCTGAACAACACAGCAAGTCTCAGGCCAGCCAGTATGCATAGTGAAACTCTTGTCTCACAATTAATTAATTAACCAAATATTTAATTAAGTATTTCAGAGGAAAAGAATACATTCCAATAAGAAAAACAAAAAAGATTTCTTTAGGTTCAAGATACACGCATTGTTTTAAAAAGACATTTAACAGAAAACTTCCTTGAGTCAGAAATACAATAGGAAAAGTGTTATTAAAAACCAGAGCAGTTCACCTAAAACAACTCCACCATGTGTGGCAGAAAACCACCGCCTATCCCTTTTCTCAATGAAAGAAAGGACAAAGAATATACATCTTTAAAAAAAAGAGTTAAACAGGGCTGGAGAGATGGCTCAGCCATTAAGAGCACTGACTGCTCTTGCAGAGGAACTGGGTTCAATCCCAGCACCCACATGGCAGCTACGAACCATCCTTAACTCCAGTTCCAGGGAATCCAAAGCCCTCTTCTGACCTCCGCGGCACTGCACAATATGGGTGTGCTCACATACATGCAGACAATACATTCATACACATAAAATAAAAAAATTTAAAATTTAAAGAAGCCAGGTGTGGTGACATACACCCATAATTACAGCACTCAGGAGACTAAGGCAGGAGGACTGCCTATAAGTTCCAAGCTATCAGGGCTACATACTGAGTACTAGGCCAGCCAGAGCCACACGGCAAGACTCTGTCTCTACAAACCAAAACTAAGAACATGCCCCCTAAAGGAAAGAACAAGGGCCCTGGGCAGGGCTCTGGGGCACCGGGGCTAAACACCAGATAGGAGCATCAAGACCAGGACCAACTGATCTCACCAGCCCACCCAGTACCCAAAGCAGACCTGCTAGGGCCAGGGTAGAGAAGGAAAGTTTGCTTCCTCAGGAACAGCTTTTACCTGGTAGGTAAGTGGAAGGCAGAGGTGCTGGGGCAGCGTGGGGCAGCCTCCATAGTAGCCCACGACTCAGCCTGCTCCAGAGGGCAGGGGAGGCCCCTTCCCTATCTTTCCTTTCCCCCAGCACTGGCCATGGAGCAAACTGGCCGCTGAGCACAACTTAAAAATGAGGATCAAAATAAAAGATGACCCCTGAGCATGCAGCCCTGGGCTCTGTGCTTAGAGACACGGGGCGCAGTCATCACAAGCTCAAGTGACATGTCTGCCTTTGTTCTGAGAAGAGGCTGGGGGTAATTTTACATCACCCTTTTCTCCTGCTGTACAGCTTTTCCAGCGGCACACTCACGCCCCCCACAGCCACCTCAGGCTCTCGAAGATTTGGAGAATCACTGAGGAAACTTATAGCAAAACAAGCAGGTGAGAGCGTTGGAAAAGGACTGCCCCCCCCCCAATTTATCGCTGCAGAAGCGGCTGTTTAGGGAAACATGAGGAAGGAGCTGCTTACCTAAGTTCCTTATTTCCCAGAGATGTGCATAATATCTTAATTCCAACACCAGGTACACAGTCACAAACGCTCACTACTGCCATCACAAAGATAAGTTCATGAAAACTGGTAAGAGCAGCTGCCTTTAAAGTTTAATAATTCTCTGCCAAGGAGGAAGTTTCGAGTTTCGCTCAAATCTGTCCTGCTGTTCCAAGCCTGACCTGCCCACCCTATGCATGTGGCTATTCCCATAGTGACACAGCTTCATCAACAGACCTGGACACATTCAAAACAGGAACAAATTATGATACTAGTACAGCTTAAAACAAATCTTAAATAGAATCCCAAAGCAAGAAAATAATCATCAGCAAATTTGCACAGCTTGTGGAGATCAGTCTTTTTATTCTGTACTCCCTGACTCCCACACACAAAGAGAAAAGTGGCCAGCCTTCAGGGACCCCAGGCCTAGGGGGAGGCTGTAAGAAGCAGCACACTTGCCCTGGAACACAGGAAGTGGGTGCCAGGTCTTACCTGGTACAGTTTGATGATGTGGGGGTGGTTCAACAGTTTCATAAGCTGGACCTCCCGGTAGATCTTCTCCAAGTTGCTAGAATCTAATCGTGTTTTGTCAATGATTTTTATTGCAACCTACCAGTTTTAAAAAGAGAAGGGGAAACTTTAACCCTACAGTAAGTAATCTCACTTACTCTTTTTCATTTTCTGCAAACACTTGAGATCAAAAGCTCATCAAAAGTTGGGGGAAATCAAAGTAGCCACTAAGGTTATTTAAAGGGATGGAAGTTATATAAATAATCCTCTATCTACCCCGATTTTCACATGTCTTCTGGGTGTGTATGTGTGTTTCAAGGTGGCTAGTCATTATCATCTTTGCTGTTCCCTAGTAATTGTACAAATTATGCAGGAGCTTTATACACACCGTTTCTTTCTTTACCAGACTAAACAATGCCAGCGTTTACAATGGTGGCAATCAGTCCTGCAGGGCTGAATCAGCGGTCGGTCGGTCTACCCCTGGCTGGGTCCCACCCCCGGGCTCGGTCTCCCCACGCGCGCACCTGCGTTTTGGTGACTCGGTGTCGCGCCAGCTTAACCACCGCAAAATTGCCTTTGCCCAGGGTCCGCTCCACGTCGTAAAAACCCACTCGCAGGGTCTTCTGCTGGCTCTGGCCTGTGCCTGTGGGGGCCACGCTGAACTCCGACATGATCACCATGGCTCCGGGCAGCACCTGCGGGTCAGCAAGGGGCGCACTCAGCACCGACCGGCCCGCCTTGGAACCCCACAGCGCAAGCCCGCACACGAGTGTCCACCCACCCCGTGTCCCGGCCCGCGCCCCCACGCACACCCTCCCGACCCGCTGTCCCTGCCTGCGCGCCCACCGACCCCCCACGCGCACCCCCGACCCAGTGTCTCCGACCCGAGCCCGAGCCCCACGCGCCCCCCGACCCGGCGTTCCCAGCCCGAGCCCACGCGCCCCCCGACCCGGTGTCCCCAGCCCGAGCCCCACGCGCCCCTCGACCCGGTGTCCCCAGCCCTCCGCCCGCCGGCGGCTCCACGCCAGCCTCCGACACCGCCGGGTCCGAGACCGCTCCGCCAACCCCGGCCGCTCCCACACCTGTGCCGCGGTCGGTCCACGCGGGTCCTCCGGGACCCGCCCCCGGCTGCCCAAGGCTCGGTCTCCTCCAGGCCGCCCGGCAACAATGCGGAGCCCGCGGCGGCGGGGCCGGAGAGCCGCCCGCTCCCCACGCCGCACCTGCGGGCCGCGGGGAC